GCTTCTGCTGGCCTGGAGARGCAGAACTGCTACCACGAGTGAAAAACACCCCAAGGGTCACTGCACATTGTGTGTGCATCGCTACAGCTGCGTATTGGAGACCTCAGAGAGTTAGCAGGGAGGGAGGAGGCAGAAGACAGAGAAACAATTTGCAAAGCACCTTTGAAAGGAGAGGAGAAACCTGCAAGAGTGGTTTTTTTATGTTTGCAAGTAGTGGTTTAATCTGTGGAATAAAGAGGGGCACTCATAGTTATGAATATTGCTTATAGTTACTTACTGTTATTTAGGCGAGTAATTATCGCGTCGTGTGTGATTATTTTATAACCTTACACTCAGTCAATTAAATGTGCAATCTTTAGCTTTCTATTTGCCTAAGCCTTATTTTTGCATACACAGTAATGTTTTTATATCTGAAGCAGTTCACCAGTCAAAATACGACATACATGACTTGGGTACAGATTTTTCAGTTTTAATTTCTTTACACCAGTAGCCAGTCATGTTTGAGCAATCTTTTCATATTAAAAACTAAAAAGAAAAAGAAATGGGGAATTTATTTGCAAATTACCCTTGCTGAGCCCTGTCACGTTAGTGACATCCTCTCATTTTGACTGGCAAAGTGGCTGCAACTCTTTCAAAACTCAGCACATTTTCTTCAGATCATTTTCTTGTGCATTGTCTCGTTAAGGGGGGCATATCCTGATGATATCAAAGGTAACTGTGATAAAACTTAATGTGGAATATTTCCGATTTCCCTCCAAAAGGCTTAAATCCCTGAATAGTAGAGAGTGTCCTAAAGAAGGATTTCCTACATTCCAAATGTAAAGGAAAAGCTTCAAAATGATCAGCAAAACCAAGTCATATATATATATATATATATATATATGTATATACACACATACAGAGGACCAGTCTCTCTCCAAGATATGAAAACTTTAATTTTGTTAAAGAACCCGGAAGGAAACTTGTATCACTATAAATAGAGACTTTTTTCACTCATACTGACTCCTTCTAGGAGAGGATATTTAATGCCTCTTGCACTAATTTTTACTAATAAGTGGTACAGGAGCGTGAAACGTCCCAGGACCTACCGTATGACACRTGTGAGACCTGTCATGGGTGCAGTGCCACAAGAACTCAGGCAGGTGAACATAGCTAAAATAGTGCATCAGGAATGGTCTGAAAGAGCAGGAATGGCATTTTGAGCGCTCATGATGGTACTGCTGAGCAATCAATACAGGTGTGAATATTTCCCCCCATTCACATATAATGCTGGCGAATGCAAGTCAGTTTTTGACCAGACCACAGTTCAATTTGCCCACTGATTCCCAAGTCGAAATTCGAACCTTAACATATGTAGTCAGATCAGTATTTCTAATGAGAAGAGTACATCACAACTTTATTTTTAGAGTTGACTGCAATTCAGATTGCTTCTCTAAAATTAAAAAAAAAAGAGGTAATATATAAGCAACAGCAAAACAGATGCAGACAGACAGGAGTGAGCAGGAGCAGTATGGAACTTGGCACAACACTGAGAGCGTCCGCTGTTCAGCATATGCCTTTTCCCAAGCTCTTCCTGCCGAGCGCAGCTAGGAAAGCGTTGTCCCTCTTTCCCAGAACCCCAGAACCTGTTTTTGGGGCCAACCCTCCGCGTTTCGCCCTGCAGCCATGAGGAGCCATTTTGTGCCTTGCGCCCGCGGAACATATTTCTCGGTTCCAGTTGGTAGGTTTTTACTCATTTTCCCCCGTTTTTTCCCTTTGAGAGGCAACGGCACACTCTCACACACACACAAATGAGCATGACTTTATGTCTTTAGGGCACTCTAYAGAGCATTAACTAATTGGTGAGCAAGGAAAGGGGCCGTGGGGAGGCTGCTTCCAGGGGCAGAAGCTGCAGGGGCTGCAGCAGAGGCACCAAGGGTGGGTCTGARCGGGTAGAGGCCCGAGGAGGATGGGGAGGTTAAATCAACAGGCTCGGGGCCTGGARCAAACCTGCGAGGGGCTTTCTGCACTGTGAGCGCTGTGATTTAGTGCCGGTCCCTGGGTTAAGACTGGCAGGTTCTGGCACAAGTGTGATGAATGTGTTAAGCATGGACTGTTCATCTCRAATTCCAGCCTCTCACATGGAAAGGAAATTATATTGTAACATAAATAGTACTCAAGCCTTAATTATAGCAAATCAAGGACTTGACATAGCATTTCAGCAAAACAAGGGTCCCACTGTAAAAAGAAATATCAGCATTTTCTTTATTGGCTGTGTTCCAGGCTCCAGTGTACAACTTTTAAGCCCTTTGCCTTTTCACTCTTTGTTTTCTTGAGAAATCTTATTTTTAACTTGAGATCAAGGATGTCCTGCTAACTAAAGCAGTGGCCTGTCTTTTGGAGATCCTAGGTTGCATTTTCCCCCCACAAACACAATTCTCACACCCTGTTCCTTCTATTCTGCTTATGTAGACTCTGATTTTTCCAGCTTGGCTCTTCTTTTCAAAAAAGGGTCTGGAGCGAATGTGCACCACAGAGTCTTGGCAATCATGCAAGGGGTTAAAACTCTGCATTGTGGTGGGTCATCCAAAGGCTGCGGGACTATAGGATAGGTGCAGTAGGTGCTTGCTGTCCAAAGCAGCCTCACCTCACTGGAGCAAGGCGGCAGGGCAGGGCGTTTGGCAACCAGGCACTGCGGGAAGGGTTGGACTAGGCTGGTGTCTATTTGAAGGCAAGAGCTGTGCTGCTTTCCCAATGCGTGCCAGGGCAATTGCGGTGGAGCCTTCCACGCATCCTGGGGGCAGGAGAACCCCTTGGGTTAGGGGCTTTCATAGGACATCAAGGGCCCAGCTGCGGTTTGAGAGTGACCTGTCACTCCTGGCACAACTTTTTGCCTTCCAAGAAGAAAGAGCAGGGCTGAAATTTGAAAGCCCTCTCCTATGGGGAGAGGAGAGCGATGAGATATAAACGTGATCCTCAAAGTGCATCCATCGTCTGCCTCCCCAGCTCCAGGGTGGAAGCCCCTAGCGCAGGGAACGGGCAAGCTCGTGCCTGTGCCAGATAAAGATTGTCTTTTTTTTTTTTTTTTTTAAAGATGGAGCATTAAAGAAAAAATAAAGGCGGGGGAGGAGAGGTACATACAAGTGTGGAAAATGGGAGCCTTATCAGGAGTTTTTGTGGAGATAAGGAGCGGGGCTGGCCCGTCTCTACACTGCGTGGACGCACTCGCTGCCTTCGAGTCTCTCAGGAAAGAGCACAAGGAGCTGCTGACATTTCTGCTTAAAAGGAAGAATCAATGAATCTTTGTTTCCCACTGCCTGCTTGCTTGACCTTATTGTGCTCCACGGTAGAAAAGGAAGAAAAGAGAACAGGCGAGAGAAGAGGGGATTCGTGCTAATAAAGCCCGAGACAAGATCGCAGCCCTCTGATCATCGCTGCAGATGCCATTATTTGGTTGTTGTCCTGTTTGCTGCTCTTGCTCATTTCGGATTCTCGCCCTGCTGTAATAAGTCACACTCTTTTCAACCATCATCCCTGTATTGACAGGCAAATGTCACCCACGTTTGATTGACGTCCGTTGCTCCTGAATACAGAAGTATGATTTAGGAATCAATTCTGTTTGCTTATTTAAACGGCTCTTTGTGTACCTTGTATATTTGTTAGCGGGACATGTTGCCTAATATTTTCTYGGGGGAATGCCACTAATATCACACGTTCAGCCTCCTGCCCAGCCACAGAGGTGTCCACCAGCCCACAGCGGGGGAGAAGCATCTCACAAATGAAAGGAAAAGCAAACAGGCTCAAGGAAACACTTTGCTGCCTCCAGTTAAATGAGAGACCCTTTCCCCAGTCCTGGCATCTGCTGGCCAACAATGCCCTTTCCCTTGGCTTCCCCACAAAGGGGCACCCGTTTTCCTTGCAGACACCTGGATTAGCAAAGCAGCGGCGGGCTCCAACACCGGGAAACACTGCGACCAGTTACAACATYGTCACTTCATTTTATTCACAGAAAGATTTTCTTTTTCTTTACATTTCTAGCTGTGATTGGGAGAGGGGGGTCCCAGGCTGTGAGGGGCGATGATCTCCTGCCGCTGCGAGGGGCGGGAGGTTGATTTTCCGATCGCTTCCACTCCGACGAGCGAGTAACTGTAAAGCATTCCCACATTTAAAGTGATATTTCCCAGAAAACACTAATATGGCAGAGTGGCCGCGGGGAAACATTAAGCAGGAGGTGGATTGACCTTTTAATTCTCCATCAGTGACCTGAAGGGTGCCCAGGGGCGGCTCAGCGGGTCTCTGAGCTCGGGGAGCGCYGGACGAGCTGTCATCGCGCGCTCCCCATCCTCCCCATCCCGCTGCTCCCCGCCAGGCGGGGGGGCCGACAAGGAGGGGAGGGGGGAGAAGAAAAAAAAATATATATTTCCCACACTGCCAGAGTAATGCCAAACTCCCTGTGAGTGGGAAGCGCAGAGCAGATGCTGGAATGAGATGCCAAAGCAGCTCCCCTTTCCCCTGCGCTTTTGGGTGCCTATAAATTGCTCCAGCGCGCTCGTCAGCCTCCTCCTCTGCTGGCAGGTGGCACCCGGGCAGGCTCCAGCTCTCGCTGCGGCTCCGGCTCCGGCTCCGGCTCCGGCTCCCGCGCAGCGGCTCGGGCTCCCGGCGGCACCGGCGCCCCTGCGAGGCAGCGGCGGCCAAGAGCGAGAGAGGGCGGAAGAGCGAGAGGAGGGAAGCGGGCGATCGCGAGAGGAAAAGGCAAGTCCAAGGGAAAGTTGGCTCGGACTGGCAGAGTGTGCAAAAAAAAAAAAAAAAGTCGATCGCCGGCGGAGCATAAAAGTGCGCGGGCCGGGGCGCGGCGGCAGCTCCCCCCGCGCGGCGGCGGCGGCGGCCCCCGGGGAGCCGGGCTCGGCGCGGGCTCGGCGCGGTTTCGKCTCTGAGGAGGTGCCCGCACAGCCAGCAAGATTCTGTCCAAGGGCAGGCAGGAGGAGCGGCCCGCGCTGAGCCGCATCGTGGGCAGCCGGCGGCGGCTGCTCGCGGCCGGCGCCCTGGGGGTGGTCATGGTGCTGCTGCTCGTCATCCTCATCCCGGTGCTCGTGAGCTCGGCGGGCACCTCGGCGCACTACGAGATGCTGGGCACCTGCCGCATGGTCTGCGACCCCTACGGCGGCACCAAGGCGCCCAGCACGGCCGCCACCCCCGACCGCGGGCTCATGCAGTCGCTGCCCACCTTCATCCAGGGGCCCAAGGGGGAGGCCGGCCGGCCGGGCAAGGCCGGGCCCCGCGGGCCGCCCGGGGAGCCGGGGCCGCCCGGGCCGGTGGGGCCGCCGGGGGAGAAGGGCGAGCCGGGGCGGCAGGGCCTGCCGGGGCCGCCCGGGGCGCCGGGGCTCAACGCGGCCGGCGCCATCAGCGCCGCCACCTACAGCACCGTGCCCAAGATCGCCTTCTACGCGGGCCTCAAGCGGCAGCACGAGGGCTACGAGGTGCTCAAGTTCGACGACGTGGTCACCAACCTGGGCAACCACTACGACCCCACCACGGGCAAGTTCACCTGCTCCATCCCCGGCATCTACTTCTTCACCTACCATGTGCTCATGCGGGGCGGCGACGGCACCAGCATGTGGGCCGACCTGTGCAAGAACAACCAGGTGGGGCCGCGCCGCGGAGCGGGGGCAGCCGCGGGTGTCCCGGGGGGGCGGACAGGAGCCGGGAGACCTCAGAGCAGCCGGATGCCGTCGGGGGGACCCGGGCGCTTCGAAGCAGCCGGGTGTCCTGAGGGGAAGCAGGAGAACCGGGAGCCCCGAAGGCGCCGGGCGCGCTGGGGCGACAGGAGCGCCCCGAAGGCGCCGGGCGC